AGAGAGAGAGAGAGAGAGAGAGAGAGAGAGAGAGAGAGAGAGAGAGAGAGAGAGAGAGAGAGAGAGAGAGAGAGAGAGAGAGAGTTGCTACCATCTTCCCTGAACACAGCACACCCCCAGAACTGATAACAACTGTGAGATTCAAGCTGAATTGAGCGGGCGTCCATGAAGTTTGCGAGTGTCTGCAGCCTTTCTAGTCAGAAGGAGGGTCATCAGTCCGGAAAGGTAGCTTGCATACATTCATGATGGGGTCTCATGTTAGGGTCGCATCAGGACGGAAACGTACCTTGTATACATTCATGATGGGGTCACATTGTGTTAGGGAGAAGAGGGTAGGTGGGTTCAAACTTTTTTGGTAAGCCTAATAAAACCTTGGACTTTTCTGCAAGTGGGGTTATCCGCAATATAAACGTAGGTGGTGACAGAAGTGCTCTGTTGAATTTTGGTTGCCTACCGAAACTGGGAGACAGCAGGCGGCCACATTCATTTCATTCTTCTTTTTTCCCCCCCTAAAGTAATGCATGCGTACCCAAGAGCATCATCTGCACGTGGATATACACGTTGGCCTGATGCATTCGCACGGTGGGTCCAGTTTTCTCCTTTCAAAGTTCAAACTTAAGCAGCAGCCTATTTCTGTTTTCCACCCTTTTTTTTTTTTTTTTTTTTTTCTAAACTAGGTAAGCATGGGAGGAGGAAGTTGTTATGAACTTAGGTGTTTGTCAGCGATTCGCCAACTCTCACACAGATCCCCACGCACGCCCATACACACACAGGAGAGAGGGGAGAGGAAGAGGGAGATCACATCACACAGAAACAATATGCGCAGCACAAGACTTGTCCGTGCAACATGATTATCACACTGACAGTGCAATTACCCCTCAGAGTCTCCTCACAACCAATCACAAAAGAACCACCGAGTAGATCACATCCAGAGATACAATGAACACTGAAATAGCAAATTACCAAATATTAGAGTCTCGTCACATCAATATTTGTCTCAGATCAGTGTGGCGCTGCTCTGAAGGACCAGCGCTTCCCTTCTCTCTACTGGGTTAGTCACCACTACTTCCCCAGAGTCCAGAAACATCAATTGCCACTCGAAGCTGCCTCCTGAGGAACAGCGCCACCCAACAGATGAAGAAGAAGACCAGCACCACAGTGTCTGATGAAGATGGAGCGTCAGGCGACCTCCTGGATGAAGATCAATAGCTGCGCCACCCTTCCTGATGAAGAAGACGACCTCTGAGAACTAGCGCTGCAGCTATGGCTACAGCCCACCACTTTGAAGCTTCCAGCAGACCTCCGCCAAATAGCCCTGATCTCCTGACAGCTCCAATGTGCTGCAGGACGATAGAGGAGCCCCCAGCTATGGCTACCTCTCCAAGGATCAGGCTATGGTCGACGTCTCTTGCGTGCTATAGGACCGTCTAACGGCGTAGGCCTTAGGGCCCGTCCGTCCTAGCGGTAGCCCGGGCCTGCTATTCGCAGTTAGGGTAGCTGTAGGGAATTCGGGTTAGTGTGGGCCTCAAATTTTCCCAAATTTGCAGATATGTCCCTCACAAATTATGGCTACCTCTCCAAGGATCAGACTATGGTCGACGTCTCTCGCGTGCTCCTACACGTAACAGCAGTGAATACTCTCTCGCCTGTAACAACCACGAGAAAAGACCGAACTGCCAAAACCCTCGAACAGTCTTCGACAATCTATTAGTCGCTCTACCCTAGCCTAGACTCGACCTAGACCGGACTGACTGGACCGACCGGTACCATTTCAATTTCGGCCTCTCGGGCCTCTCCCTACCTGACTATAGGCTATAGGACCGTCTAACGGCATTTCAATTTCGGCCTCTTGGGCCTCTCCCTACCCGACTATAGGCTATAGGACCGTCTGACGGCATTTCAATTTCGGCCTCTCCCTACCCCCTCTCCCTACCCGACTATAGGCCATAGGAACGTCTAACGGCATTTCAATTTCGGCCTCTCGGGCCTCACCCTACCCGACTAACGGCGTAGGCCTTAGGGGCTGTCCGTCCTAGCGGTAGCCCGGGCCTGCTATTCGCAGATAGGGTAGCTGTAGGGAATTCGGGTTAGTGCGGGCCTCAAATTTTCCCAGATTTGCAGATATGTCCCTCACAAATTTTCCTCTCAGTCAGATATCTCGGTTAGCCCTCAGCCAAACAAAATTACGAATCTGACCTACTTATGTTACAGCCTCGAATAGACGGGGCACCGGCAGCAGGATCAGCAAGTCATTGCAGAGTGGCATGGTTTCCTGTCGGGGGTGGGTCTTTTTTTTTGTTTTTGTTTCTTTTTGGATCCAAGATCTAGCATACAAAATCTTCAGCAGTTCCAAAATATAAAGATTGGTTACGAACGACTGTTGTGATTAGAGTTTCTTGGTGATGAATTTAGATTTTGCTGAGAGTAGTAGGGGCTGTGAAGTTGTTGTGGTGTCGACTTCGGGTTGAAAAACTTGAAATCTAGTGGTGCCCTGGATGTGCTTGGCCGGTGATGCCTTGCCCGCTGACGGCGCTGAGGGCCCCACCTAATTTTGTAAGGGACATCGGGCCCGGTTCCCGGCTTTTATTAAGATTCTTCTTCTCAAAAAATAAAATAATAAAAAATATATATATATACAGGGTGACCAGCCCGTACGTACGGAGGTCTCCGGGCAGACCTCCATACGTACGGGCGTTCGGGGTCCCGTACGGGGTCCGAACCCGACGGTGTTCGGCCCCCGCCAAAAATTATTTCGGAGCCTAAAAATAATTATTTTTTTCGGAATTTTTTTGTGTGAGCTCTCTATGACGTGATGTACATGCCTGTAAATTTTCAAGTCATTTGGCTAAGCCAAATAAGAATTAAAAATCGCCAAAGATGGCGGTGTTTAAACGTGCTCGCCCACGTATTTTTTCACTTTTACTTTTTGTTTTCACTTTAGTTTGGGGTCTTAACAATTTTATTATTTTTTGAAACTTTTTTAGTGGGTTTTTTATTATGTGAAGTACACATCTGTAAATTTTCAGAGCATTTAGCTTTGCCAAAAAAAAATGAAAAATCCCCAAAAATGGCAGTGTCGAAAACATGCTCGTGCACTCACTAAATTTAATTCTCTTTTTATTTTTATTTATTTATTTATTTTTATTTCGAATTTGGTAAGGAATTCGGATGTAATGCTCAGGCAAATCTTGTTTAGTTTATTTTTCTCCATAACATATCTTTTTTTCAGATTTTTTTGATGACTTTTTTTTTTTTTTTTTTTTGTTGGGTCCGCGAACGGCCGAACGCATCCCCAAGGGGTCCCATACGTTTGGGCGTTCGGGTTCGGGCGTTCGGTCCGTCCCGAACGCTGGTTACCCTGTTTGTTACAATATATATCGTCACAAAGTTATCAGAGCGCAAATGCGAAGAAAAGGAGAAA